TCACGATCCAAGTCCATGACACATATTGTCCGTTTTAGGCCTAGGTCCTTACGGGTTTGTCTTTCAGGTTACACCACTCCGATCTCTAAAACTACGAGTACCATGTGAAGTTGTGTTGTGCCTTATAAAGCTCTTCGCTTTCCTCTCCTATTTCGATATGGGATTCGCCTAAATTGACATGTGAATACTTACCAGCCTAGAAGCCTACCAGTCATGCTTGGCACGCTCTCATCGGTCTGTTCTTTATCACGGGCATCACATATAGTTGTCAATACTCAAATCATGGCACCTATTGTTCGCTTTGGACTTAGGTCTGCACGGATTTATCTTTTGGACAATGTCACATCGAGCCCCAGACGCGCGCGTACCATGTGAACTTGTGTTGTGCCTTATAAAACTCTTCACTTGCTTCTCCCATTTTAATATGGAATTTGCCTAAAATTACATATGAACACCTTTTTCAGAAGCTTGCCAGCCTAAAAGCTTGTCAATCCTGCTTCATCCGCTCTCATCGGCCTGCCCTCCATCATCATGGGCGTTACAGTCTTTACCGTTTTATTTTGCTGATTTATGTTTGTTTTGTTATTAGCATTAGGAATGTACTATTCCGATATAAGACTTGAGATTTATGTTGGCGGATTTATACAGTAAATATCAGAAAAGAAATTTATAAGTTGCATTTCCAAAAAGCAATTTAAAAGTAACTGACCACATATCCCCGACTATTCTAATATTATTTTAAAAAGTATTTTTGTTCAAAAGTGATTTTTGATTTTTTTTTTTTGCAAAATAGCAGTTTGCATTTGGCCAATTCATTTGAGTAGTGCTTTTTGCAAGCTCATTTTGTTTGACTAATTTTTTTAAAAAGTACTTTTAAATATTAAATTACGAAAAAAGACAATAAAGATTTAATTTGCAATTAGTATTAATAATTCAACTAAAATATCAAACGTAAAGTAAAAATATAAATTAAAAATTTCAATCAATTAAAATATAGTTATTCCACAGCAATAACATTGAGTATTTGGTATTATTGTTTATATGATACTTTAAATATGTTAAAATACATTATCAATATAAATTTAAAACCTACTCTTAAGAATAGGAGAAAGAGAATAAAAATATGAGTGAAATAAAAAAGAGAGAAAAAGAAAAGGAAAGAAAAAGATTAAATTAATGAAGGATAATTTGAAAAACATAAGTTTATTATAAGGTTATTTTTATCTTGAATAAATTAATTTTTTACCTCTACTTTTGCTTCTTGAAAGAAGTTAGAGTTTGTAACTTCTTCCCAAAAGCACAAAAACTGCATCTACTACTCCTCAAAAATACTTTTTATCTTTGACCGAACACCTTAATTTTTCCAAAAAAAAAATACTTTTGGCCTCGCAAAAGCTTGGCCAAACAGGCTCTTAGAATGCATGTAAATCATATTTCGCATCCTATTTCAATTTGTTTGAACTTTTTTGGAGTACGAGGGTCAAGTTGATTAATTTTTGGTGTGAATTAAACAAAAATTATTTAAATTTTTTGAAATAAAATTTATATATTAAAAACTATATAAAAAGTACTACAAGTCACAATAATTAAAAATTTAAAATATTTCAAAATTATTTACAAAAAAGAATAATCAAAGAAATTTTTGTGTGATTTCCCAAATAGTAATAGGTAAATTTTTAATGGTAACGAGTATGTGTTTGAATATTTGGGTTGGTCAACCAATTTTTGAATAAAGTTCAGCTAGCAAAATCAGTTTTTTATTTTTATTTTTTATTTTTAAAATAAAATAAATAAAGCCACTTTTTTGCAGCTAGATGTACTTCACGTGACATAAAGGAAAATTCCAGCTCTAGTGTTATACTGCAGTGCATGTCTACGAGTTGCACAGCTAATTCAAATGGTGCCTCTTTCTGCAACTGCTAATGTATATTTCAATTTCTATACAAAAATGGAAATGCAGAATCACAGAAAGAGACCAAAGGTGAAGCAAAAGCTCAAACAAGGAAAAAAGAAGGTACTCCACTTATCTTCTTTTATTTATTTCATCAAAAGAAGAAAAATACCTTAATAACCTATGGCTATACATATTTTTAGGTGTTCCCAAGACTATGGATAACTCTATTATTTCTTGAATAATAATCTCGAATATTCAGAATATTAAGGTAAAAATGAAATCTTTTTCTTATTTTATGATAAAATTTAAAATTTTCTTGATAATGAAAATAATGGCATGTAATAAAACAGTTGAATTTTCTATTTTTTTTTTTTGAAGCCCAGAATCCATACCCACATTAGGTACCCCTTGACCAGCGTTCCTGCATTAATCCAACCTAGCATAGCAATCTACATACATATTTATTATAAATTCTGTGTCTTTCTGTATATCTGCATATGCTGGAATCTTGAATTTTGTGTTTGGCTGCAATGCTGGATTTCTGGTCTGGGTTTTTAACTTTCTAATGTACTAATTTTGGAAAGGACATATATGTCCTGAGGTTCTGGAAATTGGTTTTCATTTCTTTTTAATCTCTTATTTTTCTTTTGTTGTTGGCATTCTTGAAATTTTGGATTCTTTGGAACATTGTGATCTTGAGGCATATGTTTTGTTTGGTAACATGGAAATAGAAAACTGGAAAATCAAGAATCTGCTATGAAATGTCAATTTGGTTTGCTGAATATGATACTACTGATGCGGAAAGCTTGGGTCTTTGGTGGCTGATTATCTGGTGTTTAAATGCATCTGTTTAACAGAATATATTGTTGCAGACTTATGAGCTGCATTTGTTCAAAGGGTTCTTCTACAGATGATTATGTTGTTGAACATGAAAAAGAAAAAGAAATACAAGTTGATAAATCCTCTGTACAGTTGGTAGCTCCATCAGTTAGAGAGGAGATTAAAGAAATAGTTAATCCTAAGATTGAAAAACCTATGAACTCAAAACTCAATGTGACATCAGAAACCAATGTTGTTTCTGTACCTGCAGTAGAAGTTGATGGTAATGAGAAAACTAGGAGTGCAAAGAGGCCTAAGGAAGGCCGTCTTAAGAGACAATTAACGATGGATATTGGACTGCAACGATCAAAGTCTTGGGTTGTAAGCATGCCTCATAGTGCAGAGGGAGAACTGAGTGCTGCAGGTTGGCCGTTATGGCTAAGTTCGGTTGCACAAGAAGCAATTCAAGGGTGGGTTCCTCGAAGTGCAGAATCATTTGAAAAATTGAACAAAGTCAGTTCTAAAGTATCTTTAAATTGCTCATTCTTCCATCAAATGTTTGCTACCTTTACTGCTTATAAGCTTAACTCACTGACTTTTTACTTTTCACATGGCACACGACTTTTGAATCTATAGTTTGTCCAATTTCCGCAGTCTAAAATATCCACCTAAGGAAGATTACATTTTGATAGAAACAACCTTGTAATGTATGCAATATTGTTTCTCATGCCCCTGTTTCCTTGTCCTCTTGAGTGTTTTAAGAACCAATTTTCTAGATATTTCATGTTGTTATGCAGGGTCTCGATGTGCCAATCCAATATCACAAGACAATATGTATTCACGGAAGTGGCATCAAAGTTTGCCCTAGTCATAGCAAATTTCTTTTCCTTCTTTGAAAACTTTTAATTTCTAAATACGGAAAAATGCATTTTCGGTTCTACTTCTGTAAATCATAATATATGTGATGATTTCAGCAACATAACTAAAATATGTTGCATCAATAATATGTCTACGCCATTAACTTATTAGATTTTGATCAGTTTTTGGAACTGTAATAGACTTAATGTTTATTTTCCAATGCAGATTGGTCAAGGAACATATAGTAATGTTTACAAGGCCCGTGACCTTAAAACCAATAAAATTGTTGCAATGAAGAAAGTAAAATTTGTCAATATGGATCCGGAAAGTGTTCGCTTTATGGCAAGAGAGATTTTTATTTTGCGTAGATTGGACCACCCAAATGTTATGAAACTTGAGGCTTTGGTCACATCTAGGATTTCAGGCAGCTTATATCTCGTTTTTGAATACATGGAGCACGATCTTGCTGGCCTTGCAGCAGCACCTGGGATCAAATTCACTGAACCACAGGTACTTCTTCCTCTTTTGGTGTGAATGATGTTTGCACAAGTTGAAAAATAAAAAAGGAACATTCTAAATGGAGTTCTCTCCACCACCAGGCGCAATTTAGGTTGGTGCATTTTTGTTACTAAGTAGTGTCCATGTTCTTATGTTGCACGCATTCAATTGTATTTCAGATAAAATGTTATACACAACAAATGCTTCGTGGACTTGAACACTGTCATAGTAGGGGTGTACTTCATCGAGACATTAAGGGTTCAAATCTTCTAATTGGTGATAATGGTGTTCTAAAGATCGGAGACTTTGGTCTGGCAACGACCTTTGAGCCCAACCAAAAGCAGCCATTAACAAGCCGTGTTGTAACTCTGTGGTATAGGGCCCCTGAGCTTTTGCTTGGTGCAACAGAATATGGAGTGGCCATTGATATGTGGAGTGCTGGCTGCATCCTTGCTGAATTATTTGCTGGAAAGCCTATCATGCCAGGAAGAACAGAGGTACTCCCATTTCAGGGTTTTGATTCACTCCTTCCACTAAATAGGTAGAGCATAGGGATTACGATGGGGGTTTATTTGTGTCTTATCCTATTACATTAACTATCTGCAAGCAATGTAGAACTATCAATCCCCTAGCGATTTTGTAACATTTGTTCATCTCTGACGAATTAGCACGTGTTTCTTCATGCATTTACTAACTGAGAGAGTTGAAACAATTACTAGGTGGAGCAAATGCATAAGATTTTCAAACTTTGTGGTTCACCTTCTGAAGAGTATTGGAGGAAATCAAAACTTCCACATGCTACTAGTTTTAAGCCACAGAACCCATACAAGCGCTGTATAGCTGATACATTCAAGGACTTTCCTCCGTCAGCTTTGGCCCTTGTTGACGTCCTACTTTCAATAGAACCAGAAAAGCGTGGCACTGCTTCTTCTGCACTCAATAGTGAGGTAATGTCAAACTTGTCTCTCCTTTGCTGAACTATGTCTTTGTTCTCAAAAGCAGTGGATACCGCCAAATAGATTATCACTGATCTGCAGAAGCTAACTCTTTCAGCAGTATAGTGTGAAGAACTTAGGCAGCTTATATAATTCGTTTGCTCAATATAGTGATCTACATTCCTTATATCCTGATAGGAGGTCTACATTCCTTATATCCTGATAGGAGGCTTGCTGCATGTGTGTCAAGTGGTATGATTAGTTGACAAACTACTGGAAAGTAGAATTTTCTAATCTGCTGTGAAGACTCTAAAAAAGTATTTCCAACTTTTGATATTAAAATTGCTTTTAGTATCTGTCCGATCAATTCTTTTTGTCCAGTGATGCATCTATTATTAATTGGATATGATCTTTTTTCATTTTCATAGGCGCAATTTCATTAGAAGATTTGTTTCCACTTGAGAACGTGGACAATCCTTCAGTGAAGAGCTTAGGAGAGTATAAATTCACTCAAAATTTGTCCAAATACGTCATTGTTTGTTGTCAAGCAATGCATTTCGCGATAACCTTATGTGGCTTGCCTTTGTTGTTTGATGTGAAAAATTAAAGAGAAAAGCTTATCACAACTTCATCTGATCAACTCTTTTGTTAAGCGTCTATAATTACGTTCTTAGAAGAAATTTCATTAGAAAAATGATTCATAACCACAATGTTTGTTCGAAAAGCTATGCCATTTGCAATGACCTTATGTGGCCTGCCAACCATTGATATTAATATGAGGCAGCTCCTTTGTTTTGTTTTCATTTTTGGTTATCATTGTTCTATCTATTAGAATAAGTTGCTGGTCTCCTACAAATTTCACTACCAATAGAAATGCTTTACATCTTTCTTCTTTGGTTTCACTTTTCAGTTCTTCAAAACAAAGCCCCTACCTTGTGATCCATATACTCTACCAAAATATCCTCCAAGCAAGGAATATGATGCTAAGGTTCGAGATCACGAAGCAAGAAGGTATTCCATACTGGTTGCATATATTCATTTTTACTGCTCGGTTATGCTTCCAAATCCAACAATAATTTTACTTTGATCCCTCTCCTTCTTAATATTAGCATTGACCCCTCATTGCAGTAATATATTAGTATTTAGTACTACTTCCTTTAATCTTATGCTACTCATTTTAATTTAAAGTTGTCGCTTATTTTTTCTCAATACTTTTATCTCTAGCCTTTTATATTTCTACAGTATAATGCTCTAACACATGTTGTTTAAAATTAATAATGTGAGGGATTAGTGACAGTTTAACAAAATAATACAAACCCAATTTTGATGTTAACCTTCTGCATTAGAAATGGGTTTTTCTCGGGCTGCCTGGAGTGTGAAATGACTAAGTAGGAGTAATAATTAAACAACTCTACCAATAGAAAGAGCGGAAGCAAGCCTTTAGGGGTTGAAGTACTGATTCCTACTTGACCAAAATTAAGAGAGACATGTAACTTTGTTCCCAAGCTTTGGCCTATATACTTTTTACTATCATGTTCTCCAAAGAAAGTGCAGCTTTCTTATAACCAAACATTGCTGCTCCTTCATATAGTCTCACAATTACATTATACCCCTTAATCCCAGGCGAAAGGCTAAGACCATAAAAGGACATGGAGGCGAATCAACAAAGAAGTCGCCGAGACAATCAAAGGAAAAACTAACAACAGAATTCAATGCTCACAAACAGGTTTGATTTTTCCAAGACGTTTACTGAATCTTTAAATTTTCTTGCTCAAGATTCCTGTTGTTTCACAAATGGCTAATGCAAATAATTGCAGGGACAGCCTAGCAAAAGCATCAGTGTGAAATACAATCCTCTCGAGGACAATGGAACTGGTTTCTCGATAGAGCCACCAATACTGAGATACAGGAACAGACTCGCTCATTCTAATTCAGTGATCCATCCTAATACAGCTGGTTACACGTGGTCAAACAAAGTAAAGGAGGATTCAAGTGCAATCACTGAACGAGCATATGCCGCTTCCCAACATGGTGTAGAGCTTCTAAGGCAGGGTTCTCACAAGCCTCGAGCTGCAGGAGAGTTTTCAAGCATTCGTTCAAGGAGAGATGATAGGTCATCTTTTGGGGATTCCACGGTGTGATCCTAAGATCAACAAGTTCCAATTATCTTAGCATGCTTTTAAACCCAGAGTTATTTGTTTCCTTACTGACTATTCAAACATCAGTCAACTGATCTAACAGACAAACACACACGTGCAAGAGGTCCCGAGGTCTAATAATCAAGTCGTCAATGATCCGTTTAGACAGTTTAGCCAGGTGGTATCAGCTTAGGTTCTTTTAGAAGAAATTGATTCATTTCCAGTAGTTAAATAAAAAATACTAACTGATCCCACACAACATACAACACACACACAGAGGTATAAGATGTCCTTAGGCCTACTGATTAAGTCGTCCAAGATCCACTTGCTGTTCATGAGCTGAAAAGTTAGCTTTAGATTATTTGAGAAAAAATTGATTTGATAACTAACTTCTTGTTTTTTGCATGTGCTTTTTGATATTTTGAGCATTTCCTCCTCTTTTTGAGCTTTCTTGAGTTTGTCTTGCCACCTTGTTTCAGGTTTATGTGCCAAAGAGAAGTAGAAGAATCCTATCTGGACCACTAGTGCCAGCAGGAGGAAGTATGGAAGATATGTTAAAGGAACATGAGAGACAAATTCAAGAAGCAGTTAGGAAAGCACGTCAAGACAAGACGAGGACCAAAAACAACTGATTCCTTCTCTTCTGGCGGAAGGATTCTTATGTAATTTCAGTTTTCTGCACATGAAATCCACATTTGTACAGGGCCTAAGAGGAGATATATCTATTGTCCATTTCAGCAGTAAAGGTTCTTTCCATTTCCCCCGAGGAAAAAGTTCTGAAACCTTGAAGTTAATGTTCGTTATCGAGTAAGTGACATATTATACCTTTTAGGGTGGGTAATTTGCTTTGTATAGTTTGAAGAATTTGCTTGTTCCTAGTTACATGTCTCTGTTTACAATGTAAATCCATTTATTGTTTAATATCTAGAGAACTGAATCTCAGTAGTTTGTTATGGAATATGGATAGTGTTGTAGAGGGGAACTAATTCCTTTGTAATTTATTCAGAGGATGGATCAGAAATAGTATAGTTGAACCAATGTTGTCAGGCTACTCTTACTCTACTCAAAAGTTACAAGAAGCTATTTCTGTGCTGAAGAAAATCAGGCCAAGTTGAATTTTCTGCAATGCAAGGTTGCAAGTCAGTCAAAAATATATATTAGGAAGTTAATGTCACATATTATATTCTCCTAACTTCAAATGTTAAATTTTGTTATAATTACATAGAATCTGTTAACTAGTTTTGACAGGTTTATAGTGATGATTATTTGTTATCCTAATCTGAGTCAATGGTAGGTTAAGCATCTCACCATTTTAATGGTACCAGATAGAGTTAGTATAAAATTAACCAAAGTCGATGTAAAAGAAGGAACTATGTAATATCATTTTGCTGAGTGTGACTTTTCTATTCCTTCTATTGTACTTCTAAGTGTCAAAAAATATATATTGTACTTCTAATTATTATTACTGCATATTTTATATATATAGACTTACCCGCAATAGGTGTTTTCACTACTTGTGTTTCATTTTATATGACACTATTTCATTTAATCTGTTAAAAAAAGAATGACACTCTTTTATATTAACTTAAAAATAATCTAACTTTAAACTTCTCATTTCACCCTCAATAACTCAATTTTATAGTCACAAAAATGTCATAACAAGTTTAATATAAGTTTTAAAAGTTTTTTTTCTCTTAAATATCGTGACTAGTTAAACACCTTCACATAAAATTAAATGAAGAAAGTTATATATTTTCCTTTATTTGTAATTTGCTAAATCATTCTTTATTAGCAAAGATCCTTTTTATTTTCCTTCTCCTTGGCTGATCAATTGCTAGGAGTGGTTTAGAACTTCACATATAAGTTTGGCTGTCTAAGGTATGTATTAGGATGGGTGAAAATCTATCCCTTTAAAGAAGGAAGATGTTCTGCCTCATCATATCAGTTGAGTGCCGCTTTGCCCCCCTACAACACACGCACAAAAAAAGAAGGAAAAAAAACCAATTTAAAGTGAGGGGTCTTTAAATTATTTTCTTACATGTTAGGGTATAAAAAGAGGCGCGCAAAGTTAAGCTACATTATGAATTAGCAAGGGCGGCTCTAGGGTAAGAGAAGAGAAAGCTCTTGCCTTAAGCCTCCAAATATATATTTTATAATTGCCCTTGCCTTAGGCCTCCAAATATATATATTATAATTTATATTTATATAATATTTCATAAAAGATTTTAAAATTTTAATAATTTTTAAAATTTGATAGAGGTAAGATTGAGTGAGTTAATAGGATAATTTTTTTTCTCTCACTGAATTAAATAATAAATATACCTTCTCATCAATTCTATTTTTCTTCCTCTATGTATAGTCTTTTTTTCAAGTTTCTCAAGATTTTACTTTCTAATTTTAACTCAAATTCTTTAGATTAACTATTCCTTTCTGTCACATTTGATTGATCCATACACCAGAAATCGAGTTCTTTTGTGTCTCATCTTTTTTAACTAAGAAATCCACAAGACAAATGTCGCAAGGTTCAAACCCCGATGGACAATGAGCTCACCCCTTTACCATTTTCACTTAAAGAAAGAATTCAATATCATATAACGTGCGCCTAACACATACATCAGGAGTTGCGCTCTCAACACTAGATCAAAGTCATGTAGGTTTTTTTGTGTCTCAATATTATATGGATTTGATAAAAGAAGTTTCAAGGTCTTTTTAATATATTTTAGTTTTAGGCCACCAGTTCTGTTGAGTTGACCCTCTTTGATGATCAACAATTATTTACAGATCACTGCCCCACCATGAACGTACTGTTCAACCAGCTTCATTCACATTTGGTAACTGAATGACACACTCACTCCCTTTAATGTTCTTGCCATTGTTGTCTTATCTTAATTGACACTCTACAAATTTGATTGAAAATATGAGGGGTGGGCAAGTGGCTCTAGCAGAAGACTAGTAAAGCCTTGATTTAGGTCCCCAAATTTTTTAATAATGGAGTTTATAATTTTATTTCAAGTTAGACAATATTAATATTTAGAGAAAAAAATAAAAAAATACAAAAAAAAATGTAAAAAAAAAGAAAGATGTCTACTCTTTAACAATAAAAATATTTTTAAGACTCTGAATTAAACTACTTAAATCTTCTTATTAGTAAATATATTTTTACAATAATATCAAAGGTACTATATTGCAAATACATGTCTAACATCTCATTTATTTAAATCACCCTTTTCTAATATAAATAATAATATTACTATGTGAAGTTAAGGACTTTATGTCATTTAAGAATATATACTATAAACAACAAGTATGAAAAAAATGGCAAGATTAATTTTTTTACATATATTTTTGTATATGTACTAATAAAAAAGTATAAGACATCTTATTAAAATTTGGCTTTAGGCCGCTAATTTTATGGAATCGCCCTTGTAAGTTAGCTGCTCGATATAATTTTTTCTATTATAAATTATGAAACAATTTACCATCTCTATTATTTCCTCGCACAGAATTAAACCAGAATACCACATCTATTTGCCAAAGTAAATGTTTTGACATCTGCAACGGCAACATACACTCCCCCCACCCCCCACTTCTATCGGACCAAATATGCGTCTCATAAAATAGGGACTATTTCAGCTAACACCCAACTTAAGGGACGATTTATATATTTTTTAATGACTTAGGTTATAGTACTCAAAGTCAACTTTGTAATGAAATGATTCATGTGGCGAGTATACACATTCAAGTTCTATCTTTTCTTAAATTTAGATCTAGAATAAATTATGTTTTAAGTTGAAAATTATTCTAAATTATTGTTTAAACCAAGTCTTACCATAATTTTATTATTCAAGCACCATTAACAATTTCTTTAACTCTAAACCAGTCGTTGGCACCCATAAAAATTTTGCAAGGAAAACCATTTTTTGGTGGCTATTCCAAGTTAATTTAATTTTCTTTTTTACATATCACTTGACCAACATGAGAGATGTGAGCAGGGGCGGCCCAAGAAGATTGGTAGCCTAAAGCCAATTTTTAATTTGGGTCCTTTAAGAAGGAATTTTTTTTTATCATAACATCGATGATTCATTCCGATGTTTCTAGACATAGAACAACACAATTTAGCGCAATTATCGCACAATAACTCACTTAAACCAACAAAATATAGGGCGAGTAATGTGCTAAAAATATAAAATTTTGGCCTAACATCAGTTGTTAATAGTTTCTTTTATAAATAATTTAGTCTCTCTTAAAATATTGTTGATCTTAGATATTAGAACCAAATTCATATAGATACCTCACTAATGATGTCACTCGTAAAATTTATATAATGAAAAGTTTTATATTCGCTACAAGAGTTTAGGGGGAGTGATTCTCTTTCTACATTTTTTGCTCAAACGGTTACATCACTACTAAATTAAAAGTTATCTTGAATTTTTATAAAATATTTTATTTTTTATTTTAACATACCCAATATATTTAGACCCTGCCTCTAAAGATTGTTGTGAGATGTATTTGATCCAACTTACCTTAATTAAATATATTGGGTTCGAGTCCTGTGGTTAAATTTTTTTTGTTAAAACGTGTTCTCTCTTTTACTAAGTTTTACGCGGTACGAATCTAGATTAGTCGGAGTTTCAATACAAATACAAATAAAAAAACAAAAAAAAAATTTGGGGCCCTCAAAATTTGGGGCCTAAAGCCTTCTTTAGTTGCTTGACCGCCGCCCCTGAATGTGAGGAGTTCTTTATTAGTTGAAGTTAGACCGCCCCTTAAATTTGTCCGACCTTTTAATTTAGACATCTTAACTAAAAATTGTACCTATTAAATACCTGAACTCAGAAGTAAATTGTGTCTATTGAGCATAAATTGTTGATATGACACGAAATGTGTAATATACACTCTCCTTCCAGAGCGTCAAATGCCTTACTTTTTGTTTATTTTTATCTTTTTGCTTTTGTCTCCTTCAATCTCAATTTGCCGCTAGAGGCGTATTTACAGGGAGAATTATGATTTACGTGAATTTATGCTTTTCACCCTAAACTATGTATAATAAGGGATAAATTCTGCTCCAGTAACGCTAGCTCCTGTATTTGCCAATAATCCTCTTGATGAATGCCACGTGGACAAAAGAATTTTTAAAGGCGAGGTTCGTTTTTTCATTAATTAAAAGATAATATTTTAGCCAAAATATAACAAAACAAGTATTCCCCCTCTTGCATTTTGTATTTTTCCATCTCTCTAGTCTCCGCTGTATTTCCATGACAAACAAACATTACACTTCTCCATAGAATCTCCAAAATACACACCAATCAATATATATTAAATAGAGAAAAGATCAGCTCATTCTCATCAGATCTAAGGAAAAACAAATGGGTGTGTTCTTTAAGCTCCAGTAAATTAAAATTTCTTGAATTTAGGTGAAAACACTAGCTAGAAAATATTAGTAATGTGAAAAAAGAAAAAAAAATGATTTTGATTGCTCTTGCTCGAGAAGGGGAGTCTCGACGTAACTGGTAAAGTTGTTGCGACGTGATCAGGAGATCACGAGTTTGAGCCGTGAAAATAGTCTCTTGCATAAATGCAATGTCAGACTGCGTACAATAGACCCTTGTGGTTTGACCTTTTTATGGACCCTGCTGCGCATAGCGGAAGCTTAGTGTACCGGATTACCTTTTTTATTGTTCTTGATCGAAACAAAGCGAAAGTGAAGCTCTTTTTTTTTTTTCTTTTCTATTTTGGGATTTTGAAGAGCAGTGTGTGTATATTCCATTGTTGAAAAAAAAAAGAAAGCCAAGTGCTGGGTCACCTGGGTGGCGGTGGAGAAGAGTGGAGTAGGTATAGAAATAGAATTATCCTACTTTTTTGGTTAAAAAAAATTACCCATTTAATAAAATAAATAAAAATAGTTACTAAATAAATCTAGTCTTTTAAAAGTTCTTTGTCCACGTGGCATTCATCACAAGGGCTATTGACATATACGGGAGCTAACACTACTGGAGCTGAGCCGATTCCGTATAATAATATTATATTTTTTTAAAATTATTTTTATATATATATATATATATATATATGCACTCAAGCTCAAAAGTTCTATAGTGCATGGTTATTGAATGTATCTTCACCAGTGAAGTCAGATTCGAATCCCATGTACATATTGTTATTTTTTTCTCTCTAAAATTTAGCCAGTAGAATCACACATGTGTCTTGTTATTTTTTCCTTTTTTTTTTTCTTTCTAAAATTAGGTCCAGCCATTGGAAATGGACATGTCTGGTAATTAAGTATTTTTTTCTTCTTTTTTTGTGGTTTATTCTTTCACAATTCTCAAGGTGGATACCTTGAAATTCTTATTCTCCTTTTGTCATCATCGTTAAAATTTGTGTAATTAAATTAAATGCTTGTATTAAATTAGCAACTAGCATATAATCAATAAATTTAATTGATCTTTATATTTTTGATATGGAGTACAAACGCACATGCCATTGTGTTGATCTTAAATGACGAATACAGAGGAATCCTAATATTTTCTTTTTGAGAGAAAATTTGAATTTTATATTCCACTTAAGTCGCATATCATGTTCATGTGGGTACATACATGTATTTTACTGTTTCTATTTCAATTTAGATGACCATTTGACTTATTTAGAGTCAATTTGACTAAGCTTTGGAGCAAAATGAGTATTTAAAATTAATATTTAGATATTAAAAAATTATATAAAAAATATTATAAGTTACAATATTTCTCATATTAATATAATAAAAAATAATATTAGTTAAACTTCATACAATTTGATTCTGGATAAACGAGATGTGTGATCAAAATTGAAAGAAACGGAGTACTTGTTTACTTATTGATATACTAGATGGCTGGTGGCACCGGCATATGCCGACAGAGTTGTTCGTATTATTTGTTCAGCTACAAGATTATTAAAAATTAATACCAACAAGTTACTTTCATAATGCATATAAAAGTTTCATAGTACCATTTACTTCCATTCAACATAATAAAGTTTCATGATATTTACATACACTGAAGCATAAAGTTTAATACATGTACTTATGCCCAGCACCTTTAGTTTGTGCATCAATATAGGCACTTATCTGAACCAATGATTATTCTAAGCAACAGACGAAGTGGAGTCACACCCAGCACTTGGAGCTCGCTTCAATCACATTTGCACTGAGCCTTTATTAAGAAGTTTTCTGACCTACAAAACAATGCAATCAACCAGAACAAGACAAGAATGTTGAGCTCCATGAGACTAACTTCAAACAATACATATTTCTCAAAACATATAACAAAAACTCTCTCTTGGTAGAAGATTCTTTATTAAACTGAATAAGGAAAAAACAGTGGTCAGTGCAGAATGTAATGAAAAATTGATAATTTAATAGGACAAATAGTTCAAAAAGTTTTAAAAACAATAAGACAAATACTTTGTTGTTGCAATTTTGACCATGAATTAAAGCAACAAACACGTATAACTAAAGCTAATGGGACAACCCAGAAAAAAAACTATTGTTCCCAATGAATTAAGAAAAAATAAAAAGAAAAAGAGGAAGTGTTCTTGAAAAAACGAAAAATTTCTTTAATTCGGAGCAGACGTATAAGTCACTTTTTACCACATTGTACTAAAAAGAATTAACACAGAGCCTTAGCATCTTTGGAGAAACTCACAGTTAGAAATATGTCACTTAATTCTCCCGCAAAATGATAATTCTCATTTTGATTTCCTTCCGGCACGAAGTGGTGAATCCAGAATTTTTAAATCATGGGTGCTCAAATAATATATTTGTAGATTTCCTTCTAGATTAAAGAACTTTAACACAATACATAATCAAAAGTGCACTTGGATGGAAATTTTTTATTTCTTAATCAGATGATGAAAGTATGAGCGTGTGCGATCAAAATGAAAAAGAAAGTTAGAATCACCGTGCATAATTCATTATAGTACTATACTACCATGATCAAAAGTCAGAGAGGAGAATAATAGGACTTATAGCAATGTATTTCTTCAGATTCAGAACCCAAAGAAAGACCAAATTGTGTTTCAACTTTCAAGTTGGAGAAGTCTACACGTCAGTAATTTTACTATAGTGGTCCCAAAAAAGTAATAGTATATATTTACGGTAATAGCCCCATAAAGCAATTGACATTTACAATATTATCCTTCGTCGTACCATAAAGCTTTACTTATTATATATTTCCTCCGTTTCAAATGGGTACAGACGTCAAGAAAAGGAAGAAAATTTTTAATCTTATAAAATAAATCACTTATTTTTTGTGACTATAAATTTTTGTATAAACATAAATTGTTTCAAAATGAATAAATATTCTTTCGCACGCACTAAAAAGAAAAGGATTATTAGTTAAAAATTCCACCAACTACTTCACTCTTCAACGTTGAAGCCCATCCTATTCTCTCTGAATTTCGATTTCTGTAGCCCAAAACCATCAAAATAAGCAACCTTGTAGCAATTTATCTCTCTGTTTCCATTCTCAATCTAACGAAAGGTGAGATTACTTTGACATTTATCTTCTGGTCTTTTGTAGCATATTTCACATTTTGTCTTCTTATATTGCTGTTATTATGAGTTTAATTCTTTTCTTTCCTAAGTTCACCCACCCGATCTTAACAATGGTTAATAAGTTGGGGGAAAAAGGATAATATCAGAAAGTCCAATATTAGCTAATCAACGAACACTGTTACATTTGCTATTGGCGAAAGTTTTTCTGAACGTAAGTCATTTTTCTTAAAAGGGCATAAACCTTGCAAATCATACTGAAAATGACAATGGAATCTTTTAACTAGATCTACCAAAATTTAGTTTTGGATCTTTCCCTAGTAACTGCTTCTAATTTCTGTTATAGTATTACCAGCACTAAAGAAGAAGCTGCATTTAATTTCTGCAGAAAGAGCATTACTTTGAATGTATTTGCATTGAATTGCTAGGATAACTGAAAATTTGAAATACATCACGAAAATTTTGGGGATAACAGATAAGTACATGTTTTGCACTACTTCATAATTTTTTTTTTTTTTTTTTTTTTT